TATGTAAAAATTGGTAGTAGTGCACAAAAGAGGGAAGAATGCTTAATTTATATAAGAAGAATGTACCAGTTCACCAATATTACATACTTCTAAATGTTTTATCTGCTATTTAGGGGTAATATGTAATCAATAACGTGGAGTTAGTGTCAAATTTGCAATAATCTTTGGTCAGTTTTTTCTTGATTTTAGTCATAAATTGAGCTGGTATTCGTTGAGTGGATGTTGCGATTCTAGACTTTGTATCTTTTATTCTCTAGCAGTCTAGCTACTTATCTTCGGATATTAGGTGAATTGATAGCTACGATATTGTAGAGCTTATGTATGGATGTGTGTGTGTATGTGTGTGTGTGTCTTAATATTCGCTGAATTTGGCTGTCTAATTTATAGCTAAATCTACGTATTAAATATGTGTTGGTGTCATCCATACTTGCAAGGTATATTCGGTAGCAGAAGCATAGAGTGCAAGCGTCTACGTTTTAAGGATGAAAGGATGCTTCTCATTTTTAGCTGACAAGTTTGCAGAGATTATTTTTCTGGTCCTCAGTTTGCCTTTTAGTTTTAAACAATGTTCTATGAATGACAAAGTGTGATACAAACTATTTTCAAGGTATTTATAGCAAGTCCAGAGTTTAAAAATTTCATGACACTATTGGATGTTTAGATTTTTAAAAGCATCTCTGTTAGGGACATTATAGCAGGACATCTGACTTTTTCTGAGGTTTGGCTTAAAATTGATTCATAGTCTATTTTTATTGTGTTTAAAGTATGATTTAGATTTTTCTATACTTCAGCAACAAAAGTTTTTGGTTGTGCAACAATATAGATGTATCGTCTACATAATAAAAGTCCTAGTATTTACTGGTATGGGTTGTGTAAATATTATACAGTGTAGGTACCATTACGCTACCCCAAAGGAGACTGTTCTTCTACGTTTTCCATCTGTTATTTTTACCATTGAGTGATCTTCTGTTGTGTAGGCATACCGGACAATACTAGCCATTGTTGTATTTTTGATCCAAATTTTAGTATTAGTTTTGTGCTCAGATCTTTAGTCAGGAGCCGTAATATTGTTCATTATATACGTAGATAGCAGATCCAAGCTCAACACCGTTGAAAGATTCCCTTAGCTGACTGGTTTTGTCCCCTCTCATTTTAAGTTTTTCTTTTCTTGTTTGCCTATGTTTGGCCCTCAATGTGTTTTCTGCACTAGAAGTACGTCACATTTGTGTTAACCGCATATGTCTGATAAAGTTAAGTAAAGTAAAGTACCTATCTTTATCTCTGGATATTTCCTTCTCTAATATTTATAGACATAATTAGGATAGTTGGCATTAAAAAGGCCGATTTTGTCTTTGGGATCTTTAAACCCTATAAAATATGGCTAATCTTTTACTTCTCATTAAAAATTTTAATTTTACATACTGTTACTTTTAGACAATATTTCGATCAGATTTGTATAGTAATAAATGTAGTTAATATATGTAGAGTCTCTTTGTGAAAAATAAATGAGTTTGTAATATCGGTTACAACTCATATATGGATAATAAGGAAATAAACGGTTAAAATAGGTGTACAAAATTTTAACTACATATATCGGCGCCATTGTTCAGGAGTTGGGTTTATCTCAGAGATCAAAGGTTACGTTACATGCATATTCCAGGTTTTATTTACGTATTTTCATTCCTAAAAAAGTATATTTATAATAAAGCCCTGAAGCTACCTTTAGATTCTATGAAAAGTAGAATCTATGGAAATTAGCAAATTAAAAAATAAAGACATAATTTTGAATGGCCAACTTGAGACAAACAATTCTCCCGTCCTTAACTTATTCAGTTGCAAACTATAACGTGTAAACGCATACATCTTTTATTGTTAAACTAAACTAAAAATAACAAACTAAACTCTAAGAGAAAGAGTAAGAAGTGAAGAAATACGAGCGAGATGTGGTTTAGAGGAAATAAACGCGTGGACCAAAAGAAAAAAGCGGAATGGAATCAACACTTCGAAAGAATGACAAAAAATAGAATAGTACGAATAGCAAGAGACAAATCGCCAAATGGAAGGAGATCATTGGGACGACCGAGGAAAAGATGGTCAGACAACGTCAATTGAGGCTCAAAACCGAAGTAAAACAGGCATTAAGCCTATTTATAAAGAAGGAAGAAGAAGAAGAAGATAATAAACTGGAGTAGAGCACTTGGTAGATAATATTTATTTGTTTTGAGTATACTTATTTTACAACATAGTACATAAAATAATAAATATTTGTGTGCTCAGTTTTTTGCTCTGAATTGAAGATTTTATCTCAAAATATGACTGTACTTTATACAAATATTATTATTTTCTGAGATACCGGTATAAATATAAATTTTGAATTTCGCAATGATTTTTTAAAATTATTTTCTTGTGACGTTATGTCAGTGTTTAAGAATAATGCTGGGAATAAGGTTAAATAGGTTTTTATATTTTATTTGACGTTTAAATATTTAAATCTGAGTTCATTTTTCGAAAAATTATAAACTTGTGACAACAAATTGCTATATAACAGTACGAGGCAATATTCTTATGCTGTGACAAAATCATCATATTTGCTTTACATTGCCGTTTTTCCTGCCGTATCATATTTTAGCATAGTCTTCTGATTCATTTTATAGACAAGCAGAAATGGATATCCACAATTTGTCTAATAATATTAAGTTTTAAAAACAGCTGTGCTTTTATGCTCATTCGTTTACCTTTTGTAAAGCCACCTGAGTTATGAATAACTACTTTTTTGTATTTTTAGAAGACATACTTCTATCGGGCATATTTTAATGTGTGAATATTAGGGATTTATATAATCTTTTTGTATATATAATTTGTTTATTGATTTTACATTTTAGATAAAATTTCATAATTATAGTTCTCTTCCGTTTATTTTCTATAGTAATACATATACAAACCCAATTCAAAATGGAGAAAAACCAGCGAGTTCTAGATTGAACGTAGACATTCGTCTCTCTTTCTCCCTATATGTTATATAAAGGTCATAGTCATCATATAGTCAGAACGCAACAAGATTCTATTACCTTTTCTTCTTTTTGTCTCCTCATTACTATTGAAAACTTAGCCACGTAAATGACGTTGTAAAAATTTATTTCCCTATTTCTGAAGTGCCTTTCCTGGGATAACTTTTTTAAGTCTAGTTCACTTGATTACTTGTAATTGATTTGATAATCCCTAACAAATAAGTTGTTGATTGTAGGTAGGATAGCATGTGATTGAACAAGGATGTGTTGATAAGATGTAGGTAGTCTCATTATTCCTAAATTTGACCATATGTTACTTCCCTCCTTCATTCGTGGACGTCCTAAGGGCATTTTTTTTTCTCGATCCTCCCAATTTAGCTTGACAATGCAGTTATTAGAGAGCCTTTGGATATAGCCAGTGCAACTTTGGCGTTGAGATTTACTTTCTTGTACGACGTTGCTACCTTTGTATATGTGTTTGACCTTGGCATTAGTTCCGTTTGGTATTGGTTAGTACTCGGACCTATATAGGTTGGAAAATACTTCTGATGACATTTCTAGCAATCCTGATCTAATTACTACTTGAGTTTTACTTACATTGTTTTGACAGTGTTCTCGTCAAATATCCACACAGTAGCACTGATTTAATTATCTTCTTATATATCCTGATTTTATAGATTCCTATTAGACTTCTGGATTTAAAAGTGTTATAAGGGTTATAATATATACATCAGTTAGCTCCCTAAATATTCATTTTTATTTCTTATGTGAGAACGTTATCTACGATATACTAAATACTGCAATGTCTTAAAATGATATTGGTTTATTGTAACATTATGCTCTACTCTATATCATCTTTTTTTGCATGTTAAAGGACATTTATTTAGTTTTTTACTGATTATCAGCAAATTTTTTTGGTGCTAATAGCATTATTTTATAGCATTCCAATATTTATTCTATGGATTAAATCTGGATAGCAAATAGTTATTCTTCATTTTCTCGGAGAAATAATATTGCTACTAATTTCAAACCTATTTTAATACATGGATACGAGTAACAGCAAATGACTAAAGCAAGTGAGGAAGAACTCCGAATATTTGAAAAGAAAATAATAAGAGACAACGATTTGAACCTTCGTCGAAGCTAGATTTGTTTAATTACCAGTCTAATCGCACCTAGTTTTTGTGCTTTTATTTATATCCAGTTAATACTAAAAGTGTAATAAATTGTTGTGATACCGTAAATAACAATGGAGAATACCAATGGAGAAAATCGGTAAGGAATTTTAATCTAATTAGATACTTACTTCAAAACAAGTTCATATTATTTATATCACCTGATATCATTAAACAACGAAAATGGATGATGTTAATAGTCCAGTGGCGTCGAGGCCCCAAACGTTATTGACATCATATAAAACTTCTTCATATTCTGTAGCGTTAATCAATTCAATTCCAAAATTCCAATATCTACTTGCACTGTGAAAAATTATAGAACCAAGATATATACATTTTTTCATCACGAATTTCAAATCACCGTATTTGTATTTACCTAGCTAGTGAACGGACTAGCGAACTAGTCCTTCGGACTAGGAACTAGAAACGAGAGAGGAGAAAGGCTCATAGAATTCTGCCAAGAAAAGACTATGGTAATTGCCAATACTTGGTTTCAGCTTCCTAAAAGAAGACTATATACATTGACGTCTCCTTCACATACAGAAAACCACATTGTCAGAAACCAGATAGACTTTATACTCGTAAATAGCAGATATAAAAACTCTATAACCTCAGTTAAAACTTATCCTGGAGCAGATGTTAACTCAGACCACAATCCGCTAGTGGCTGAGGTGAAAATAAAATTAAAAAGAATTGAACTCAGAAAACAACAACCAAAAATTAACGTAAGAATGCTACAAAACGAAGAAATAAAAACGAAATAAAAAATAATGTGAATGTTAATATGCAAAAAACACTAACTGACAACAAAAAAATTATGGATGTAAATAAAAAGTGGTGTAATATAAAAAACACATTACTGAAACCAGCTCAAGAAAGTTTAATAGAACATAAATCACAGGCTAAAAAACACTGGATGACAGAAGAAATACTATTACTGATGGAAGAAAGAAGGAAATATAAAGGAAAATATCTACAGAAGTATAAAGAAATACAACGAATAATTAAGGAAAAAATCAAAACAGCTAAGGAAATCTATTTGATGAAGCAATGTAAAGAGATAGAAGAACTAGAAACAAAATATGATATGAGAAATATGCACAAAAAAATTAGAGAAGTGACTGGAATGGGTCGAAATAGACAGCAAGGACACATAAAAGACAAAAAGGAGTACTACTAGTAGATTTACCAAAGAAGTTAAGGCGATGGGAGGAGTACGTTAGAGAACTTTTCCAAGCTGAAAGAGGTGAAGTGCAGAAAATACAAGAATTAAATCCTTTAGAGATACAAAAGATCACGATAGATGAAATCAAATATGCTATCAAAAACTCTAAAGACAATAAGGCAGTTGGATTAGATGAAATACCAGTAGAACTCTTAAAACTAGTGGAAGAGGACAACTTGGAAGTATTGGCAGATTTATTCAACACGGTGTACGATACGGGAATAATACCACAGGAGTGGCTAAAGTCAGCATTTATAACCATCCCTAAAAAACAAGCAGCAAAAGAGTGCTCTGATTATCGAACACTGAGCCTCATGAGTCATACTTTAAAAGTTCTGCTAAAAATAATACATAAGAGAATATACGAAAGGCTAGAGGAGGATATTAGCGAGACGCAGTTCGGGTTCCGAAATGGAATGGGTACTCGAGAAGGACTATTTGCCATCAACATATTAATTCAACGATGTCGGGATGTGAGTGTTGATCTACACTTGTGCTTCGTTGACTACGAAAAAGCTTTCGATAAAGTAAGACATAAAAAACTAATATCAATACTTATGAACAAGCGCATTGACAGTAAAATCATAAATATAGTGCAAACATTATATTGGAACCAAAGTGCCATAGTTCAAATTGATGGGCAACACTCAGAAGAAATGAGGATCTGTAGAGGAGTTAGACAGGGATGTGTGTTATCACCACTTTTGTTTAACTTATATTCTGAAGAAATTTTCCAAAACACGCTCAATAATATCGAAGCGGGAGTCACCGTTAACGGAAAATTAATTAATAATTTAAGATATGCAGATGACACTGTGATCATAGCAACGAGTATAGAGGATCTACAACATCTTATCGAAAGCTTGAGTATAAATAGTGCTGAAATGGGAATTACTATAAACGCCAAAAAAAAACGAAGTACATGCTGATTACAAAAAGGCCACAAAATATACATCACCTATTGACAATAAATGGTAACGTGATAGAACAAGTAGAAAAATATCAGTATTTGGGAACTTTGATCAATGAAACCAATGATCATACTGTAGAAATAAACAGACGAATAGAGATTGCCAGATCAGCATTTATACGAATGAAGCCACTCCTAACGTGCAAAAATCTAAATTTGGAGATCAGACTACGTACCATTCGCTGTTATATATTTTCAATATTATTATATGGAGCTGAGACTTGGACATTAAAAAAATGTAATTTAAAAAGAATCGAGGCCTTCGAACTCTGGTTATACCGCAGAGTATTGAAAATATCATGGACTGATAGAATTACAAATAAAGAAGTACTGGAGAGGGTTGGTAAAGAAAGAGAAATAATCACCACTATACAAACCAGAAAACTGGAATACCTAGGCCACGTGATGAGGGGACCAAAATATGAAATTTTGAGACTGATAATACAGGGAAAGATTCAAGGAAGAAGATCTGTTGGCCGAAGGCAGAACTCATGGTTAAAAAATCTACGTGATTGGTACCAATGCTGATCGATTGATTTGTTTAGAGCAGCAATGTCTAAAATAAAAATAGCCAATATGATTGCCAACCTCCGTAGGTAGACGGCAATCTAAGAAGAAGCTAGTGAAGAATTAGAAAAAACTGTCATGAAGGCTGACAACGAAAGAATAACTATCAATCATCAAATAATTTATGCTGGACGCTTAATTACACCAAATATAAGATTACTGATCTCTAATGTTTGTCCTAGTATTTATCACACTTTCATAGAATATGAACTTAAAAAATTAGGCCCCAATTTATTACCTCCAATTAATTTTTTACGAAGAGGTACAACAAACCCAGTATATAGATATATATTGAGCTTTCCAAGACATAAATTTATCTTTCCTTTGAAAGCTACATTAATTTCTCCCTCAATTGTCAGAAACCACGATCAAACATCTAATCGTATTTTCTTATCTTTAGAAAACAGATCTGTTACTATTGTAAAAAATCTGACCATTTTGTAGCAAATTGGTCATTCTGTACAAATCCAAATCAGAACTTTACAACAACAGTGCCAACTACTACTATAAATATAGTAATTAATACTCTTCCACCCTTAATCACCCTTAACATTACTTCCCAAGTTCTCAAACTACATACACAGATAAAAATATAACAACTACCCAGTTATCAACAATACGTAATATTTCACAACCTCATATATCAATCCCAAACTATTCCTCAACACTTGCATACTCTATCAATAACATATCAATAAATACTGTAATTTAAAAACTAAAATTGCGTAGCCAAGAAAAAGTAGTCATAACCCAAAGTGCTTTAACAAAGGTGAACGAATTATTAGCGTAACAGCTGTTTTGAAAACTAAATATTATGAGACGAATTGGGATATTGTATTACAGGAAAATATGATATGACAGGAAAGACTAATGACTCTATAGCTAATTGCCACATAAATATCAATGTAACGCAAATCGTATGATTTTGTATATAAGACAAATAATATTATATTCTAAATTATACCTATAGAGATACAAATAGTAAAACAAACATAAACAACTATTATACAATATAGTAAATATTTATTTAGATAAACGTAAAGGTTAAAACATGTTTTTTAATTCGCGGTAAAAGATTTATTAGAGTTTAGCACATAAGATAAATTCGTAACAAAATTCATATACCAGTAAATGGTACTCGTTACAGCAGCGAAGTAATTTTAGCAACAGATATGTAGGCTGACCCTTGACATATAGCAACCACAAAAGAATCGGCGATAGCGCAAAGGGCAGCTACCCCTTAACCAAGACACGACTCTCTTGTTTGGCAGATAGCACTTGTCTCTTCGACGACTAGGCAGCCTTCACCCCTACTGGATAGAACGACTGTCTTTGATGACTAAGCAGTCTTCATCCTTACTGGATGGAATGATTGTCTTTGATGACTGAGCAGCCTCCACTTTTATTGGATGGAATGACTCTCTGTTGATGGGCTAATTATACGGGGAGAATTAAAACATGAAACATGGACGACGAAAAAACAAAATAAGAGCCGATTGAGCATCGCAGAAGGAAGAATTATTAGAGAAATATATAAACCTGTTATCGATAATATTACAAATCAATACAGATTGCGAAACAACCGCGAACTAATTGATTATTATGACCAACTAGATAAAGTAAAAACATAAATAACATCTTATACGTAATACCTTGTAAAAATAATATTGTACATTTTTAAGAACGAACTCCTATTTGAACATTGAAGCGTCAAATAAAATATGTAGTACATAATAAATATTGTGGCATATTTCTTTCATTCTATCCAAAAAATAAAAAAAAAATAAAGTCAGACATATTGAGATGGATTACTGAATACTATTATAGCATACAAGTAGTTTGAGCTACCGGATATTTAAATACATTAAAACTTGGTGTGAACATTTTGGTTAAAAGAATAAATTTGATTTTTATATGACACATGTAGTTGACGTTTCTTTCTCCAAATTCTTTTTTAGAGTTCTTTTCTAGACACGTACTAAACAAATTTTGTTTATATTGCAGTTTCTTCTTTTTGTAGATTTAATAGTGATAGTGAACCTCTTCATTTGGCATTTGTGGATTACAATAAGGCATTCGATTCCATAGAATTCTGGGCGGTATTAGACGGAATGAACAACGCAAGGATAGATTCCAGATATAGAATGCTCCTAAAATACATATACGACAATGCAACTATGCAAATAAATGTAGCAGAAGGCCTAACAACAAACAAAATAAGATCAGAAAGAGGTGTTCGACAGGGAGACACCATATCTCCAAAATTATTTACTCTTGCATTAGAAGATGTGTTCAAGAAGTTAAATTGGGAACAACTCGGAATTAAAATTGATGGCAGGTTTTTAAGCCACCTAAGATTTGCCGATGACATAGTACTCATAAGCAACAATACAGAGGAACTAATCTACATGCTGAAGGAGCTTAAACAAGAATCTGAAAAAATCGGTTTAAAAATGAATTTAAATAAAACAAAAGTAATGACAAATCAAAATATCACAATCGACTTAGATGGAAGTGAGATCGAAAGTGTCGAAGAGTATATATACCTAGGTCACACCATCAAACTAGGCAAACAGAATCAAACAGCAGAGATAACTAGAAGAATCCGAATGACTTGGGCAGCAGTAGGCAGACTCAGTGATGTGTTGAAGAACAAAAAGATACCAATAAATCTAAAGAAAAGGGTATTCAACAGTTGTATTCTACGGTTATGACTTATGGAATGGAGACCATGACACTTACAGAGTTGTCAGCCAACAGATTAAGAACAACACAGAGGGCCATCGAACGAGCTATGTTGGGAGTATCACTGAGAGAACATATACGAAACGAGGACATACGAAGCAGGACGAAGGTGGAAGATGTAATTGGAAGAATTGCACAAATGAAATGGAACTGGGTAGGGCACGTGGCACGGCAAAACAACGACAGATGGACGAAAAACATTGTACATTGGAGACCACGCGAACACAGTCGGAGTAGAGGAAGACCACAAAAACGATGGCTAGACGACATCAAAGCAAAAATGGGGAGAAACTGGCACCAATAGCACAAAACAGGGAAGAGTGGAGAACTCATGGGGAGGCCTTTGTCCAGGAGTGGATGCAAACAGGCTGAAGAAGAAGAAGAAGAATAGTGATATGAGGATATCAGTTAGCTACATATACATAAAATACAAATAGACTGACTGTTGCAATACAGGTCCGTTTCCCCAGTGCGACAGAGAAAACTGGCGAAAAGCAGTCCCTGCATCTCTTTCTAATTTGACAGGTTTATCGAACGCGTGACCTAAATGACCAATGAGAAGGTCACGTGGTCGATAAACCCGTCCCAATAGAAAAAGATACAGATATGCTTTTCGTCAGTTTTCTCTGTCGCATTGCGGAAACGTGAATGTATGGCAGTATTCAGTCTATTTGTACTATATGTCTATGGTTTGCTACATGCATTTTCGCTTTTATCTTTTATGTGACAAAGTTATCAGCAATATCTAAATAGCTCCAATCCTTCAAAAGTATATGGTTTTATTGTTACATTAATGCTCCATTCTATATCATACCTTTTGTCTGTTAATAAACTTTTACTGGATGGAATTTCTTGTTATTGACTATAATACCGTTTTTTTATGCTAAAAGCATTATTCAATATATTATAATGTGTAATTTCTCTGGTTGCTGACGAATAGAAGTTTTTATTAGCTTTTCTTTAATATAATTATGTATGCAGATTTGTATTTTGATCTTCTCACGGTGCTAAAGAGCAAATGTAATAGTTTATTGTATTTTTCCATAAGATTTCTAGTTTTTCACTGTGTCGTGGCTCCTCTTATTTCTTTTCCTACGATTTACATTAATTCATTTAATTATTATTTCTGAAATTTCAAGTTTATACACAGTTTCTTTTGTTCCGCTTATTTATCTAAGATATGTTACTCATTCTTATCTATCTATCTATCTATATAAGGATTTTTACAGCTGTCGCCGCCTTCCTTCTTTCAGCCAACGTCTCCAGTCCTGTCTGTTCTGCCATTCTCCATCTCTAAGGTCTCGTTTTTTCCATGACCTCGTACTACTCGGTAGACCCCGAAGATCATGGAGGGATGAAGTCTTCGGGGTCTTTTTCTCCTTCCTATTGGGCTCCAATTCAAAATCCTTGCTATCCACCTTGTATGATCTGTTCATTCTTATCTGTAGATGTGCTTAGATGTGCTTATTCCTTATCAATTATCTATCAATATTTGAAGTCTTTTTTTATTTGTTTTAGTCATTGTAATGATTCGCATCCGTACATAAAAATAGTCTAAAGCTTGTATTATGCTCTAAAACTCCTTCAGTGGTAGTATTTCCAACTGCGATTATTGTTCTAAGATATTTAATGTCTTCCATACTTTAGAAATTGAAATTGTTGACTTTAACGTTGTATCTAGATTTACTGACGGTCTCTTATGTTTATGAGCTGGTATTTGGTTTTCACTTCGTTGATTTTACTTGAAACTTTTTTCGTGCTCTCTGGACTTTGTTCAGTATGTCGTTTACATATTTATAGATGTAATCATCAGCATAACTAGGAGCTGCTTTATACCTTGGCCGTTAATGGATTACATCGTAAATCGGCGCTGTTTCTATTTTAATAAATTGTTCTTTAATTTTTTGACTATTTAAATCGAGAATCTGTATTTTATTCGACTGTTTATTAAGGCAGAGTTTCTTGGGGCCAATTTCTCTCTCAAGGTTTTTGTTTCCCGTATCAATATTACAACAATTTTGCTGGATGCCAACATAGGAAACCCGTTGGTATGTACATACTCTTTCGATATCTTTTTGTCTCGTTATAAAGTGAATATTAGTTTATTAGGAAATATGATATTGTCTAATAATAGTTAAGTTGTTTTGCTTTGCTTTCTCAGACTGCTACCGTCGTGCCTTCTGGTATTTGATATTTCAACCGTCAAGCAACAATTCCTATATGCATTAACTTAATGCTGATATCCTGCTTCCCCAATCCAGTTAGCAGTCCCGAAACCAATAAAATTGCTACATTCAAGTTTTCTATTAAGCTGCCCAGAACTATAGGTACGCCTTATTATCTTACTGATGTTAGTGCTGTTCCTTATAAGTGAATAAAATATGAAAGGAAGGTTTTGGTAATTTAATAAGATCCTTGTGTTACAATATAATGTCTCCGAGAAAGTAAAGTAATATCAAAACGCTATTCGGATTTAATCCATAGCTAAAATATTAGAATGCTATAAAATAATGCTATATATTAGCATTAATAAGTTTATAATGGATACTAAAGTTTGAAAATAATTAGAGCAAGTAATTTAAATTATCAAAGTGCTTATTAAACATAAAAATAAAATAAAATTATATTAACAATTTATATTATAATATATTTAAAAACAGTAGCCAAATATTCTTGGAATTCCTCGACGACTAACCTGGTGGATATTTAAACAAATTTTAAGTTCTAAAATGTACCTGCTTTAAAATTTGAAAATCTACGACTAATACAACTACTGGCAACATCGCAGGAGCTTAGTTGTGTACGCTAAAAGCTGTATACGGATCCCAAAATGTTTTATTCAGTTACGGAGTCCACTTGATCCGACGTGTTGGTCGGAGTCTACATAAAGCGCTACTCAGATAATAATATACACGGCGTATATTCTCCTGGAGTTAGTATAATACCGTTTTAGTACGGAGCCCACATTAACCGCTAGAAGTATATATATATATATATATATATATATATATATATATATATATATATATATACTATGAATTCATATATTACAATTCATATACTATGAATGTTCATATTTATAGTTATGTTATTGTTTGATTAAAACGTAAATTTATTTTTATACTGTATTTCAAGGTATTTTGTTGTTGTTATATCAAAATAAATCAGTAAATTTATTTACGAGGTTAAAAATATTTAAATTATTGTTTTCTTCTTTTTACGTTGCCAGTGATTTTATTTTGTAAAAAACTAAAAGTATTCGTTTTCTAATAGTTTAAGCTGTAATATAACATTCTGTGGAAACCTTTCTATCAAATTGCCTTAATGATTGTTTAAAAAAATGTGTTTTGAATGTTGTAATTGTTTTTGAGTTTATTTTTTTAGATCTAGGCTTATAATGGCCTAGTAAATATGGGTTAAAGATGTCCAGTATTAGTGAAGTTTTCAGTAATGATAACAAAACTACTATTGATTACGAGAAAACGAACATATTTAGTCTTTTAAGGGATAAAATCACTAGCACTTAAAAAAGTATAAAACACTAATTTAAATATTTTTTAACTTCGTAAATAAATTTAATCATTTATTGATTAATTTTGAAATAACCCCGATAAAAACAACAACAAAATATTTTGAACTACAGTAAAAACTAATTAAAGTATTAATCAAACAATAAGACAACCTTAAAATATGAACATTCATAGTAAATATCTTTGATATTCTTACTTCATAAATTCACGAACAACAAATAATACCAATCGCAAAGAATGAATGTAAATGCTTTTATTTCATTACATTTAAGATTTGATACAATTTGTACTATAAATTTAACTAAATTCAATCTCTAAAGTAGTGCATTTTAAGTTTTTCATTATTTTAGGGTAAAGTGGAAATAATGCAATTGACAGGGGAGATGGTAGCCGCAGAAATTATGCAAAATATAATAGAAAACGTAATATCAGAAGTATCGGAAAATAAACAAATGGACAATACAAATTCTCACGAAAATGAGACTCAAAGTGTTACTTCATCCATGACTAGGTACTGGAATGTTTAATTATTATACATTATGTGTGTGTGTTTTTTTATAGAGATAGAAAATACATGTATCATCAGACCTAGATGTATTCTACTGCCTGGTATATCGGACTCGTATGTTACAATACCGAATAAAAACCTCTCTTCTTTTTCAGCCTCTGTTTCCTTCGCGGAACTGCCAAAGGGCATTATTTCACGGGAGGAAAATTTAGCGCTTGCTCTTCCTCAAGGTTGTCGAAGTAATTGCTTATTTCCTCCTAAGGCAGAATGAATTCAATTATGCCATCAGCTATTTTACATTTTACAAAGTTATCTACAGAATGATGATCAGGAATTACCAGAAAACCCGCATATACGGATTTTATTTCTTTAAGTGCCCCATCATTAAGGAGGTTGGCCATTACTACAATTGCAAACTCATCTCTGTATTCAGCAGCTCAAAATTTAGTCCAGTCGATTGTCGGATGTTCTTAACTGTGATTAGTATTTTCCTTTCTTCCTATAGAAAGTATCACTTTAGTTTTCTTAATGTTTATTTTCATACCGAGTTGGTCCTGTCGATAAGTCGTGTAGATCCAAGCCGGAAACCGCAATCAACATCGTATCATTGGCGTATTTGATGATGTTGATGTGTACGCTTTGACTCCGTCCTTGGATTTCTCCAGTGCTTCTTTAAATAGGAACTTGAAGTATAGATTAAATAGCAGGTGTAGTGAAACACATCCCTGTCTAACTCCTAATTTCTACCTCTGTGTATGTGGAACTTTTGATCTTTATTCTGTGGTTTTTCTTCCAGTAAAAGTTTTTCAGCAGCGCAATAATAGCATTGTTAAAACAAGGGAAGGACTCAAAAAATCCTATTAACTACAGGCCCATTTCTCGTTATGTCATTTTTTCAAACTATACGAGAGACTCATCTTGGCAGAATAGAAAAATATGTTGACAAGCATTTAATTCCACAACAAAGAGGATTCAGATCCAGTAAATCTTGTACCAGCTAAGTTCTCGCATTACCAGAACACATCATCAGCATTATCATCAACCTGTACGCTTTCACTCATATGACATATTTATGCCCCCCTTAGCTCTTTCCATCTGTCTTTGTCTTGTACGACTTGCATCTAGTTACTACTAACATGCTTCAGGTTGTCAGTCGATCTAGTTAGTGGGCTTCCTCTGCTCCGTAGTGCTTCTTGTCCTGATCTCCACTCTACAATACGTTTTCTCCATCGGTTTTCGGAAGGCGACGTGTCCTTCTCAATTCCATTTTAGCGATGCGATGCGAGAGACACCCAACATATGTTAATGTCTCCGTTCCATAAGTGAGTACAGATAATACACGTTGATTTTTCTATTGAGACATGTGGGTAAGTCCGATTTACATACATAGTTTAATTTACCAAACGTTGCCTAGGCTTATTCTATTCGATGTGGGAGCTCACATATCTGGTTATCTCAGCTTAATCGAATTTCATATACTAAGTACTTATTTGATGCAGTATGCGCAATATATCTTCCATCAACAGCATTATTTTGATTTAGCACTAGATTAGTCATTATTTGCGTTTTGGTCATGTAATCTTTAGTCCGACCTCCAAGGAAGCGTGATTTATTTTTCCAACATTATTATTGCATCATCCTTACGATCGCCTATAAGGATGATGTCATCTGCGAATCTCAAATTACTGAGCTTCTTTCGCTACGTACTCCTCGCTGTATACAGAATTTATTCGTTTTTTATTCAGATAGTTGTACACTAGCTGTGGCATTTTGGTAGATATATTGGATTATTGTAGCGATGGTCTATTCGACATTATGTCAATGCTTTTAACATTTCCTGCTGGCTTATGGCATCGAATGCTATATGTATCAGTGTCAATGGTTTGTTGTATTCTGCAGACTTCTCCATCAGGTCCTTTATCACTAGTAAGTGGTCGTTGGTGTTGTATCTCGATCCAAATCCAGCTTGTTCTCTAGACTGATAAAGTCTAACTTAGCCTTCTTTTTTTATATTTTTTTATGAAAAATTTATATATGTGTGAGAGTAATATAATGGTACGGTAGTTGTTTTTACATTTGTTTTGTCTCTTTGAAACTCCACAAAAGAAGGAAGAAACCGAAAACCTTGGATGACTCAAGAAATACTGGAAATCATCGAACAAAGAAGAAAAGATAGAAACAAAACCCGGATAAATACAGAGAAAAAACATAAATTAGTAAGGAACAAAATAAAAAAGGCTAAGGAAAAGTGGATGATGAAAACATACATAGAAATAGAGGAATTGCAGAAAAAACATGGTCATTATAATTTACATAAAAAGTCAGAGAATTAAATCACGAACAAATATACCTATCCGGTCAATTAACAAAAACAATAAACACAAAGATAACCCAATTGAAATAAAACAAGTATGAACTAAATATATTGACGATATTTTATGGACACAAGAATAGAACCATCACAAATTGATAGTGAGGAAGCCCCAATAATATTAAAATCTGAAGTGCAAATGCTATAAACAACTCAAAATCTAGCAGAGCACCTGGTCCAGATAAAGTTCACATCGAGCTGATTAAACTTATGAAGGCAATTTAAGTGCAATAACTATCCTCTTTAACAACATATACAAACATATACAAATCTAAGTGATATATGGTTGAATACGCAGTTTTTTATTAAATCTTGTCTAAGTACTCTCACTCTCAGAGCATCTTCAGGGGCATCTGAAATAATCCAAGAAACATTTTTTCAAGTGAAGGAAAATTAGAAGTTGATGGTTAATAGAACATTTTTATATAACGTTTTAGACTTACTTGATCAAAATTATAGGGTATCCAGCACTTTTATGAATGTCGTAAACATTAAATAATACATTTACACAACACAAGGACAAACAGTTTAAAAATTTTATATTTGAAGAAGCTACATAGTGGGGGGATAGCAGGAGAGAGAATAGCTTAATGGGTATACTCAGTTTAGAAAGTCTTAAACATTCGAGCTGGGCCCCTTACGAGTTAAATCTGCAATAACATTTTTAAAAATAGTTTTAAATTTAGTACTATTCAAATTAAATTGAGTATTAAGACAGTGAGAGTTTTCTTTTGGGTTTCTTGTAATTTCCAAATCTTCCAATAAATCCATCTCCCAAGTAGTTTCTCTTTCTACTATGCCATAACCAGAACCAGTATTGGTGGACAGCAAATGGTGACCAAAACTTAAAGAGTTTGGTCTTTTCAAATGTTCTTTGATTCTGGTAGATATCTTTCGAATGGTTCTACCTATATAAGAGGCATCACAATCATCACATTTTAATTTATAAATACCAGTTTTGTCAGGAGTGTTCATCCTATCTTTGGTGTTAATTAAAAAGGAACCCTAAGTGACTTGAAGGGAATTTTTATTATATTTATATATATTTTTTTTTGGAAATGTTGCTGATATAAGTAAATGAGAAGTATCTGATGTTATTTGAGGCATTGCGTTGAAGCAAGCTTGTGATGAATAAGCTAGCTTTTCTGCAATTTTAAGTTTTGCTCTATTTAGAAGCTTATGGATGATGTTGGAATCATAACCATTATTGGAAGCAATTTATTTGAGAGTATTAACTTCTAAATTAAAGTTATCATTAGAAAGTGGAAATTTGAGAAGCCTATAAATGTAACTGTTGAAAGCAGCTGGGTTGGATGATTGGATGTTTCATGTATAACATGATCTGTTTGAGTAGTTTTTCTGTAAATATTATACTCTAGAGAATCGAGAGTATCTCGGAATACTTCGAGATATAATCATATCCAAGAAGTTCAATTTATTATCCGATTCTGGTTCCAGTGTAAAAGAGATGTTAGGATGGAGGTTATTAAGATCATAATCTGTTAGGCATCATCTTGGGTTCCCTGAGAGCTATACAATCATCAACATATTTTGACCAAAAATTATTTGTTGTTAACAAATTTCTTATCTAAGCTGTCTTAAGTAAATATCAACTAAAAAAGTTGATAATGGAGAACCCATCGCTAAACCTATTGGTTTTTTTTTTATATATTTTTCGATTAAATTGGAAGAAGTCCTGATCAAGACAAAATTTAGGCATAGTTAAGATGGCATCTTTGTTTTTTTTTTACAATTAAGGCGCATCAACCTAAGTGGTTATTAGCGCCACTTGGTATTACAATTTTGACTTACATTTTTTAGACATAGATTAAACATAGACATGACATAGATAGAGTTTTACATACATAAATCTGAGTTGAAGTACATTGGTTAATAGAAAATTACACATTTATTTGTACACGCACTGATCTTAAATTTGGTTATATGTTCCTATTGATTTTAGAAAATTTAAAACAGACGAATAGACACAGTTTGAATATGCAGGGCATTCAATTAAACAATGTTTGACACTTAAACTGTTAACACTTACCGCACATTGGATGAATACTTCCAGTAATAAGGTATTCGTGTGTTAAGCGTGTATGTCCTAATCTCAGTCTGTTTATTTTTATTTGAGCTTTCCTGTTGCTACACATATTCTTCCATCTTGTAACAGTTGTTTTTATGTCTCGTAGTTTTTGTTGAGATTGATTCCATTCTTGAATCCACCGTTCTTTCAATGTCGAGTTAATCCAGTGATGAAAATCTTTATAGGTAGGTTCTATCAAGTCTTCGTTGTTAACTGAAGATTTGGCGGCAGCATCTACTCTTTCATTACCTTGTATACCTATATGTGACGGAATCCACATACATTTTACAAACGCATTCTTTAGCTGAAGTTGGTACAAATGGTTCTTTATCAATCGCAACAATGGATGAGTTGGGTAAATGGTGCCTAAGCTACTCATGGATCTTAAGGAATCTGTTATTATTAGGCACCTGTCTAAGTTGGCGTCCAGTGCATATTCTAATGCTTTGTAGATTGCGAATAGTTCTCCTGTATATACTGTGCAAAAATTTGAGATTTTGTATGAAGCAGTGTAGTCGTTGTGTATGAAGGCACATCCCACTCCTTTTTCTGATTTGGA